ACACACACACACACACACACACACACACACACACACACACACACTTTGGCTGAACGGCAGACGGCAATGTGTCACCCCTGACCTGGCTAATGATCCTGATCCTGCAGGTCCGATATGTGCAGATGTGCCATGACAAAGGCCTCAAAAAACCTCCATCGCAAAGTGCTGAAGGAAAAACTCTAAAGCCACGCCCCCTTGTGTAAGCCACGCCCCTTGTGTAAGCCACACCCCCTTGTGCTTAAGGCTCTGGGCTTGGGGCAGAATGGCAGGTTCCCGTGGCCTGTGATCGGCCGCCGGAATAAGAGGAAGCTCTGGCATCGGTGTGGAAAGTGATCAGCTGACGCGAGACATTTACTCGGGACAAACCATTTCACACCACACAAAGATTAAATGAGAGCGCCTTTGGTAACGAGTTGCAGAGAATGATGGTGTTTAATTAATGCAGGGTTCATAATGAAGAGTCTCGCTCTCCAGTGCTGGGGTCTCACACACACCTCGAACGACAGCCACTCAGGGGGGGTCCGGCTTCATATTTCCCCGTTTACTGAACGGGTGCCCGACCCAGTCACACTGTTTAAACCAGTCACACCCACCCATCGACCACGGACTCGTTGGTACCTCATTTCGGCTGAACACAATGGTACCAAAGCAGCCTGACAGATACAGCTCCCATTAAAATACCCCCCATTCCTGATAGAATTCAGCAGAATTAAATGACCGGTGAACTTAATCATTTACAGCTATGAACGGTTAGTTCATTAACAAGTCGGTTTAACTAAATGCAGAAATCAGTCTCTCATTGGTTCTTTAATCACTAAGGTATGACTGGAGGGATTTAAAGGACCACAAACTGTCCAGTCGATTGTGACCGTAAACTTTTAAAGGTCAAAAGGTCAAACTGACATCCTGTCAGGTGCAGAGTGTACCTGAGGAGCTCTTCTACATCCTCATCCGTCTTGGCTCCGCCCCCGGCCCCGCCCACCTCGTAGGCTGTCGGCAGAAGCAGGGAGTCGCCCACATTCACAGCCCCACCCAAGTCGGGGTCTTCAAACAGCCTCAGCGAGCCTGTTACCATGGAAATGGACGGGTGAACTAGCTGACATCCACCCGGGAGACAGCGAGGCGGGAATAAGTCACACGTGATCAGCACATCATCCGTGCGAAGATATGTATAACATTCAGGATGTAGGACGCAGAAGATGGAGCTCATTATGCAATACAGTGTTATGGAGACCCCCCCCCCCAGCCAGGTTGAGGCCCTCATCGGATCTACTTACTGCCCTTGGCAGGAGGGGCAGCCTGGCCCCCTCCTGACTGCCCCGCTGCCCCGAACAGGTCCTCATCCGGGTCGACCTCCTCACCGAAGAGCGAGAACGTGGCCGTCGCAGGTTTGGTTGCAGGTTTTGCTGCAGGTTTCTCCAGCTGACTGGCCGCATCGGCGACCGGCCCCTTCTTCGGCTTCCTGGAGCTGTAGGGCGGGGCGGGGGCACAGTGTTAGAGTGAATGAAAGACAGGAAGCAGAAAAGGGGTTAAAAACCACGATGGGATGCTGGATGGACCAGACGCCAGTGCAGAGCCGGCAAATCAGTGACTGAGTCACGCCGATCCAGCTGGGACAGGACAGGGGGATGCTACAGGAAACCATGGCTGCTGACTCAGAGACCCCCGTCGCCTGTTGGGGGGGGGGGGGTTCTCACCCCCGTCCGACAGCTGAATCGCCCCCATATTTTCCCTGGAATGAGCCTCGGTCTAACAAACAACACGATGAATCACTCATCTGAGAGACGTGGAGTCATGCAATGTTCGACCAAGTCCTCGAGATCTCACACTAACTCCGGCTTGTGTGCCCCCATTCCCGGGAGACAGGATAGGTGCAGATGGAGAATTGCCCTCCACTCCCCCCCCCCCTTCCTACAGCAGACAGGCTAGTGACCAGATATTTCCTCAGCCTGGGAAAAGTGAGCGGACAGCGTAAGCAGAGTCTGCCAGCAGAGAAGGAAAATGTGGATCAATGTCCCCCAGCTGGGGTCAACATGGGGGCACCAGGACAGAGAGACACCCCAGGCTTATTGTGGGTGGGGTCAGAATGAAGGGAGGGGCAGAGAGCACAGCTACAGGACATGGAAGCTGAACTTCAGGGGGAAAAATATGCAGCGTTAGAAGCAGGCCAAAGACGACAGAGCGGCTGAGGTGGTTCAGTCCAGCACGCGCTCCTCAGATTTGGAACATTCTGTACGATCCAAAAAAAACACACACATCCAGGAACAAGGCAGAGTTACCAAACATGACGGTTTTTACGTACAGTATGTGGATGAGGGAGGGCAAGATCAAAGGAACAAAACAGGAATAGAAGCCTTTAAGGGAGTTTAAACACAGCGGTCACTATCACACTGCAGTATTAGGGGATGGTTACTATGGTAACACCTGACAACTACCAGGCTCGCGAACAGAATACATCGGTCAATCGTCGACTTTAACGCCACATTACGAGCTGCTGAAATGAAGCAGAACATGGCAGCCCGGGGCAACGAGGGCAGAGCCAGAGGACGTGGTCCATGACCGAATAACATAAGACTTCCTCTGGAGACACACGCAACGGTCGGTCAGCACAGTGCCCAGGTCCCGCCGTCCTACGGGCGCAGCCATTCCTGCCGTCCTCCTCGGCCTGTCATCCCAGAATAACCTTCCGGGGAAAACGGATCAAGGAATATTTATTGCTGCATGGGGCAACATTGTGAGCCTGACATTTAGCCTCCCGGGAGACGCTTTTCCCCGCTTAGAGTTCATCATCGCAGACAAAACGCAGACAGACTGGCATGTGCCCAATTCCCTCAGTCTGCCCAATCCTGAGAAAACTCTAGGAGGAACGGTCATCATCAAGCACTTTTCATTGCGGACGGTGCGTATCTCAGTAGGTTGGAGACCACTGCTTATGTCCAGAAGGTTGTAGGTTCAAATCCAGTGGCGGGCAGGGTAATCATATCACCCTTGAGCAAAGCGCATATTCCATACTGCTCCAGGGACACTGCTTGATATTGCTCTCTGATCCTCCCCTGTATATCGCTTTTGTCTGTTAAATGAATAAATAATGCTTTCCGGGATTGATCCTCACCCTGATTCATTTTGAGAGCAACTTGTTGTGGCACAGAATAGCCACCAGCAGGGGGCAGCGATGAGTAGCACATTCCTCCCACCCACAAGCACCCTGCCGCTCCGCCCTTAAGGTTTCTGGGCCTGTTGCAGGGGAAAGAGGTGATGCAGTGGTTCAGAGTCCCCGCGCTGCACACCCTTGTCCAAGGTCGCTCGGGACAGCAGCGGGGGGGGTCTGTCTATCGATGAGGTAATGCATTAGCGGCTATGAATAGTCTGCCGTCCCAAGAGGGATCCCTCTCCTCTCTTATCAGGAGGGCGACATCAGATCTCAGTGCTACAGGACGGAGCTAGTGACTGCCCCCCCCACCCCCTCCCCCACAGTGCGGATAACGTGTCCACAGCCGTCACACGCCATCCGGCCTCCAAGTCTCGGGAGTGACCATCTTACCGCAAAATCCCCAGTGGGTCCAGAACCTCCTCCTCTTCCTCATCCTCAGCAGGCATCACGGGGGTGACAGGTTTCGTTTTCGGCCCTGCAGTGAGCGCCACCGTGGAAACCTCCTCTGTTTGAAAAAAATCCACCCCGTCTCTGTCCCACTCCTCCTCCTCCTCCTCCTCCTCAGGGACGTTCCTGGTTTTGTCTGCCACCTCAGTCATCTTTGCTCCTGTGGCAAAGAAGAAAAAAAAAAAACATGCAAAACACATAAACCCTTTGCTGGTCAGAGAAGCGTCGTGTAAAGTTTTAATTTTCACTGCAGGAAATGACACGCATGGAACAGACTCTAAACATATACATGAAGCAAACACACGCAGATGTTTCTCGTTTTGGTCTTTTCAATCTAAGCCACAAACACTGAAAATTCAGCAACACTTGTTAGTGGGAAAGGTCGAAGCCAAAGCGCATGAAGGTCTCTTACAAAGCGGTGACGTCCCCCAACAGGAAGCCTTCATCCTGATTTATTCTGACGTGGGGCTTCTCTCCCATCGTATCTCCATCACCAAAACAACATCTTCTGTGAGTCAGCTAAACGTGACTGCGATCCCTCTCTGCGCGGCACGTCGACTCCCGTCAGCAAACGTCACCCTCCGAGGGAGACTCAATTGCACTTGATGTCACACATTTAGGTGCCACCATGTCCTGATAATTTGCAAAGACGTCCATTTCCTCATAAAATATTCAGCCTGCGCGGTTTCACATCGATGTTTTTCCATTTTTTTTAAATGCATTTCAACATGGCGTGGGAGCTGCGGCTCTAGGGAGATTCACACGGCTGGACAGGCGCCATCTCGGGCCCAGTGTTTTGGCGAGTCCACCCTGGTGAACGGCGGAGGGCAGGAACAAGAGCAAAAGAGAAAATGGGGATCGCTCTCTGACCAGGGCCCCTCTGCCTCCTCCCCAGTGTAGTGAATATTTGTGCCTAACAGCCCCCCCCCCCCCCCCGTGAGAGTGGCCCCGACAGACAGGGCATCACAGAATCAATACAATCTTTCTCCTTCAGCTGACATGGACTAACGGCTGCTGTCTGAGCGTAGTGGCCATCTGTCAGCCACCAGGGGGCCCCGCGACACAAGACATGGAGCCAGTCACAGCTGAATGACAGATGCAATGACACGATGGAGGGCAGTGTGAGGAACGCCCCGGTTTTTGTTTGCACTCTTTCTTGTGATCTGTGCTTACTGGCATTACCTAGAAAGCCCAGCAGCTCAGGGCAGGTGGCCAGGGTTCGGTGTCTGGAGAGGAACTTGACAAGCTCGTCGAAGGCAGCCCTGCGCTCGCGGATTTCCGTCTCGCCGACGAAGAGGGCCTTGCGGGGCATTGCGGGCAAGGGGACCGCGGGGTAGCGTGCAGCCAGCCTGCAGTACAGCTCCTCCATCTCGCTGTACTTTTTGGAGACCTGCCAGCAGATGGAGAGCAGCCTTAAGAGGCAGATAGCAATCCACAGTCTGATGAAAGCAGCAGGGCAGGCCGACTGGGAGGGATCTGGGATGTGGTTCAGGGCCAAGCAGATGCACATGGCACTACTGCAAAAACACACCAGTGTCTACACAAACATCTCCATCGGCAATATAACTAGCTATATTTACACGGAGGCCGAGCCGTTCGTTTGCGTGGCAACAGCGCCACCGCGTGGACAGAGGTCACACATACGCACATTTACAAAGGAGCCCCGATCCACCATCATCGAGGGGACTTTTGGCAAGTCCTCCCGTGAGTGAGGAAAGGCGATGCTGACCGGGCGCTTCGAGGGTCTTAGCCAGCAAGAGGGTCGGGGCTGCTTGATTCTCACCATTAACTGGACCACGTCTGCTGGCCGATGCTTGGCCGACTTGAAGGCGGCGAGGCGCGTCACCACCACGATCTGGTACTCGACGTGGCCGGTCATCATGGAGCCGCGCACCTCCTGGAAGAGCGGCACCAGCAGGTCTATGCCCGTGGCCTCATTCTGGAGAGGCCTGGAGGGAGCGGCCGGTGCAGGGAGCATGGGGACGGAGGACAGAAGGGCGCGTTATGGCGAGGAAATCCTCAGAACTGCACTCGCAAGAAGGCGCCTTAAGGGGGAGACTAAAGGCAGCATGAGCGGAATCAGTTACAAATATGAAAGGTTAAGTCGCCCCAACAGCTGACACCGTGGGTGAAGGGGGTCCCGATGCCTGCCGACACCCACAGACTGAACAGTATTGATTAAAAGTAATTCGAGAAAAATCTACGCACCTATAACAGGCTCTCACAAGCTTCCCTAAGAATATTGTACCATATGTCACTGTTTTCAGTTCAAATACTACAGCTTGAGTTTTGCGTTAAAACGTCAATAATGAAACACGATTGCGATTCAGCTAGACGTCATAACGGCTTTATTACAGCGCGCATGTGACTCTTCTGGGCCAAACTGTCCTGAATGTTGGAGCATTAAGATTGTGGTATCATTCAGGGGCGGACTGGCTATAAAGCCGCCCCGGGAGTTTCCCCGATGTGTTATTGCTAACGGGAGCCGGTTCAGCCCCCCCGGTTTGCTCGAAACACAGTGAAACAGGTTCTGATCCCACTGGTAACATGTTGCTACTCCCCCCGCACGGCGGCACACCCAACTGCTCGAGCTTCCATCTTGGGCGACGCCAGAAAAGAAACGTCCCGGAACTAAAGTTTCGGAAACTTCTCCTTCTGCTTACCTGCTGGTGACCAGCCCGTCCGGCATTGTCCCGTAGCCGCTTCGATCGCCCTTATTTCAGCTTCTCGATCACAGCCAGACGCACTTACGCTGCCCGACCACCGTACATTTCCCCCCGGGCTCGGCAAACAGCCGCGCAGCCGTCCGACGCCTCCTATCCGGTCACGGGATGCTCGCCGGGCGCCTCGCCGGGAAAGCGGCCAAAGGTTGTCAACAGGGGAGGGGGGACACCGAATCGCGGGCGCCCTGGCTCCGGAAAATGGCGGAGTATCGGAAGCGTTTGAAGGTCTATTAACTTCCCAGCCCCGTGCACGTTTAGGACGCACTTTCCGGCACCTCGTCCTCCCTAAGCGGCAGCAAAAGCTCCGTAGTCGGCAGGATTCGAACCTGCGCGGGGAGACCCCAATGGATTTCTAGTCCATCGCCTTAACCACTCGGCCACGACTACGCCATGGAGAAAGAGCTATGAGGCCGTCGTGGGAATTATCCAGAGAACTACATTTTCTTGCAGGGATTAAAATGAATTATTATGTAGGCCTCTATATATATATATATATCTCAATCGTGCCCTACAAATATTGCAGAAATAGCAGAGTTTCCTCTACACCTAGATGATTTGAGTATTTGCGCACTATATGTCACTACTCGAGTAATTTAACACGAACATTTTGTAATATTGGGTCGCTGAGCCATGTTCGCAAATAATTAGCCAGCAGAAACTGATCAGGGTTTAATCATGGATGGAGTTTATTACACCTGTATCACTGCAGCAACACGCACTGGCACTGCCCACCGTGCTCGTCGCCCCGTTTACTCCTCATACACACATTGCCCCCCATGTTCGCAAATAATTAGCCAGCAGAAACCGATCAGGGTTTAATCATGGATGGAGTTTATTACACATGTATCACTGCAGCAACACGCACTGGCACTGCCCACCGTGCTCGTCGCCCCGTTTACTCCTCATACACACATTGCCCCCCCATGTTCGCAAATAATTAGCCAGCAGAGACCGATCAGGGTTTAATCATGGATGGAGTTTATTACACATGTATCACTGCAGCAACACGTACTGGCACTGCCCACCGTGTTCGTCGCCCCGTTTACTCCTCATACACACATTGTCGTCGTCGTCGTCCACACACACACACACACACACACACACACACACTACATACAACGATAGGCATTTAACACCAAATATGACATAATATACAGCACATTAATAATGACACAAGCGATTACTGACAACACCAAGCTGGCATCAGTCCAACATGCCGCGCTGCCCGTCGCTACCCCCGCGCTACAATTTACTGGGAAACCATTTATGAATGTAATCAAATATACGAAAATTTTAAAAAGGTGAAGTTTGTTCTTTGTTCTGTCAGTCGCCTGTGTCAGAAGGACAGAAGGATCGATGTCGTTGAACACTAGGGGGCGACAAACACACACAGATGAGGACATACCATAAGACAGCCAGGGCCGCGTGCGAGAAGGGGGCTTTAATTATGTTTTGATGACTTGAGTGGTGGGGATGCGGCAAAGATTCAGGTATAGGTCCCAAGGTCAGTAATGAAGCTGAAAATAAGGATTATATTGATTTATATTTTCATTGCTGTTGCCATGTATTAGTGTGTGTGTGTGTGTGTGTGTGTGTGTGTGTGTGTGTGTTCACCAGCGGTTGGATTAAACCGCATGGATTAAATGCGAGGGGAAAATCATATATGAACCACGCTTTTAAGAGGCTTTTAAATGTAAAATAAAAACTCCTGACGAAGTCTTTTCCAGTGTGAGCGGATCTGCTTTATATTACCCAGTGATACTTTATATCACTATGCTGAGAAATGCGGCGGTATAACACACAGAGTTCCACGCCCGGCTCTTGGGGTATTTCGCCTCGCACCTGGGATGGAGCTGGAAAGTGTGCCGGGCCAGCAGCTATTGTCAAGCGCCGGGGCGGTGAGGCCGCGTTTGGTGGGCGGCCAGGGCAGGTTTCGCAGGGTGGTCACGCCTGTGATTTTCCACCCGGCTCTCAGACAGCCCTCTGACTGTCACTCCGGGGGGGGGGGGGGATTTCCCTTTCAAGCCCGCGGCTCAGTGAGCACGCACATTCGGGTGACATTGATTCCTTGTTCGTGGTGTCTGCCTGCACGGATCCCCTTCCTCGGACTTATAAATAGTCCATCTGGGCAGGAAAATGCAGTCAGACTGCGCATCCCCGCACGGCCGCGGTCTGATCCACACCGCTGCGGCGGATGGAGGTACTCGCATGTCCGGCGACTGGTAATCTTTCATAGCGTTAGATGTGGCGTGGGGGACACCATTGGTAGGACAGGGAAGACAAAAGTAGTAACTTGATTAAAAATATATATAAAGCGAATGTAGTCGCTGGGGGCGCTGGTTGACCGCTGCGCAACAGGCAATACAGCCACTCAGTGTCAGTCAGATCAGTGATATTAACACAATCTAAAGAGCAAAGGGGAGTTTCCAAAGTCATCAAAGCGCTCCAGCTTTCTCATTCTCGGCCAGAGACCACTGAAAATGGATCTTACGAAGGCTGCGGCTCCCTTCCTATGGTTTTCCTTGTACTTTGGGAATTTTCTGGAAGCGGCGGTGCTGGAATCCTCGCAGCAGCCCTCTGGCGTGGGTGATAACGGGCTGGCCGCACATCTGGAGGAGCGGAGCAGAAGAGAAGCTAGAGCGACGTCCAGGAGCGACGCTCCGCCAAACGGCACCGTGGTGCCTCATGAATACATGATATCTCTCTACAGGACCCTGTCTGAGATCGAGAGACGGGGCGCCAACGGCAGCCTTTCCCGGTCACCCAGACATGCCAACACCGTGACCAGCTTCGTGGACCAAGGAAAAGGTGGGTGCAGATCGATCGGGGGCGACTGGCTCAGGGGTCTCTCGCGTCCCGGCTTCGGAGATACCCAGCTCTCCCAGTACTTTTCGCACCATGTTTCTGTGACCGTTTCTGTTGGGCGTGCAAAAATTCAGACTTATTTCTATAATATAACTGCAACCGTGTCTGCAAAATATTAACGTGTCCATTGATATGTAAAAAATACATTGTTACGTTTATCTAACAGGAAAGACTTGCGTGCACCATTTTTCTTTCGGACCCATGCTGTCACTGTTTCTCTGCGGAGTTTCTGACATTAAATTAAGCGCGTTATGGATGTAGCGTAATTCTGTCACTCAGGCTGCGCGAGAAGCATTTTCTGTAATAACCTGTGTAACAACTAGCGTTTCCCGGGTCATTCGCGTTTGTCGGCCTTTATTGATTAAATCCGATTAAAGTGCAAAGTGTTTTTCGTGCATGTATAACTGTTATTTCATTGTCTGCACTTGAAATCCACAACCGCGTTTCTGTTTCGTTACGATCGCAGGCTTTTCTTAACATAAATACAAAGAACACACATTAATTTACTTCTCCCACTTGCCGTTTTCTTATCCATAATTTGGCATTTGTAAAACGTGTTTATAAAATAAGCACTGAGGTGTCAAAGCAAATGTTTGCGCACTTATTTATACCAAAGTAACGGCGCCACGCTGGATTTCACGCTTAGTTAAGTTCATATTTCGCCGAACTATGAAATCGTTTAATTTAAAGGCGGCCACCTTTAATCCTCTGACACGAGCAGTTTCTTAAATACTTTAAATACTTCCATTGAAATATGAAGTAAAATGTCTCGGATTTCCAACATCTGCGATAAATAAAGTGCACTGGCACCTTGAGCCGAGGGCCTGCCTCTCCTCATATCCAGGTGTTGCTGATAAAGACCGAGAAACTGCAGCGCAGACTAATTTAAAACTGGTGCTCAAATAAAGACTGTCACCCGCGATGTTTATTTCAATAGATGTACACTGTCCCGAGATAAAAAAAAAATAAAAATAAAACAATATTCACCATGGCATAATTTTATTTGTCAATTTAAAGTAAAATGAAAAATACCTGCGCAGATCGTTTATGATTCCGCATTCTTAAATATTAAAAGATTGCTGTTGCGCTGTTTTACAGTGGACAACGGATATTTCATATGTAGTGAAAATAGGCGGATTGCCCATTCCTTATAAAGAGAAATAACAATGCAGTGAACTGAAAGCAAGTAAATATGCCAGTAAAGTTAGAGTAACTAAAAGGTTTACTTTAAGAGAAAAATGGTCAAATGAGTTTAAAGCATAATAAAATCGCATTTTATATAAATGTTGCGGATATGAACCTGACGATGTTTTACCCAGAAGTCTGATCGTAAATACTGCTTAGGATATTTTTACAATTAGCCTACATGTATTTGAAATGTCGCTCCGCTTCCTGTCAAAGAAAATACCGACTGTAAACTTACTGCCAGAGGTTTAACGGTCCCGGTAATTTTAATGAGCAGCGTGAATTCCGCGTGATCGCCCATCGAAGCCCCTTAATATCTGTTCAAAATGACGCTAGCTGATGACGGAGAATAAGCTTTGGTCGTTTCATTTCCAGGAAAAATGGAAAGGGTTCGAGGACTAACCGTGCATTGAACATTGTTAATATTTTCTAATTATGACATGGTTTCGCAGTTCCGATTGCTGTATAAGTGGGAACGCACAAGCCCCATTTTAACGGCCGGTGCGTTTTAACAGGGAGTCTCCTTTCGGCATGGACGTGTTCTACTGGGGGTCACGGAGCGATTGAAAGCCCAGATGATGGGTTAGGATTAGTTTCTCACTTGTCACACGAAGCCCATCATGCATCCATGACTCTGCTGGAATAAAGGCTCTGATACAATTTAATGCAACTGAGTTGAATTCACAGTTTTTTTTGTTATGTGGGTGGAGGGTCGTGTGAGAGGAAAGAACTAGACAAGTGTCTCAACAGCCGTATTGTTTTGTCTGCTGCTGAGCTATTGGGCTGAACTCCAGTAACCTTCTGCCGTCCTGGCTGTCGCCTCGGACCGGGCCGGTCCACAGTACCGGACAGCAGGTGCTTGGTGCCAGTGCCGATTCCCAAGCTCTCCGGCTGTCCTCTGCCCCGGCCCGTCACGCTCTTACCACAAGGCTCAGCCACTGCCTGCATCGGGGTGCATGTGACCCCCCGCCCCCCCAAGCGGCAGTGCAAGGGATTGGGGGGGGGGGGTGACTCTTTGAAGACACAGCCCATGCAGCGATGCCTGCAAATCCCTCTTTCCCCGCTTGGAAAATGCGGCCCCAGCCTGCTCTCTGATACTAGGTTACAGCTTGAACCGGGCGGCACAGAGTGGCCAGTGTACAGATCAGAAGGTGGGGGGGCATGGGAAGTGAGGAATAAACACATCAGCAGGGCGCATGTTAAGTGGGGGGGGGGGTGGTGAAAAAAAGCACATGTGAGCTCCACATTTTCTTGGGTTTATCTAGACTGCAGGTGACGTTGGACTGTACTCTGTTAAGTAAATCATCTGGAACATTCCGGTCACACACCAGCCCTCCCACCTGTGCTCCCAAATTCACATCCCATTCATTAGAAATATGGCGTGGGGGGGCGGTGTGGATATCATTCCGATTTCCGCTGTCTCGCCTGACACTCCCCCGTCGGGGGGGGGGGGGGGGCGGGTGGGGCCACGGCTCATGGGGGCGCTATTGGGTCAGCCCCCTCTGTGATACCTGCATTTGGTCTTCAGAAGGTTTGGTCTCTTTGGTCGACCTTCGGGGGGTGGGCTTCTCGTCTAGGTTCTATCTGCTACTGTTTCTGGTGGTTGCCATGACAACCACCCCCTGACACCTTCCCATCTCTCCCCACAGACCACCCTTCAACAGAACCGGGCCAGCGGTACCTGTTCGACATTTCCAGCCTCTCCAGGGCGGACGAGCTGGTGGGCGCCGAGCTTCGGATCCTGCGCAGGCCCCCACCCAATCTGCCACTGGCGCTGTCCCAGGATGGCAACCTGTACCGCATGCTGCTTTACACTTGCCCTGAAGGGGGCGCCACAAGGCGCCTCCTGGACTCTCGTACCGTGGATCTGCTGGACACCGGGTCGGCCAAGTGGGAGGCGTTCGATGTGTGGGCCGCGGTGCGGCCGCTGCCTCGGGGGAGAGGCTCCCCTCTGTGCCTCGACATGGCCGTCATCTCCGAGGCGACCGAGGCGGCTGTGCACCCGGTGGCGCTGGGCCTGAGTCGCAGGTGGCGACAGCCCCAGGAGAGGGCGCTGCTGGTCACTTTCTCCCGCAGCCGCAGGAAGGAGAACCTGTTCCGGGAGATTCGGGACAAGATGAAGGCCCTTGGCGGCCTGCGGTCCAGGGTGGGCGCACAGGAGGCCCGCAGCCACAGACGGCGCCGGCGGAGGAGGACGGCCCTCTCTGGAAGGCCCGGCAGCATGGGTGGAGGCGGGGGCCGCGGGGCCGGCAGGCGGAAGACACGATGCAGTCGCAAGCCGCTGCACGTGAACTTCAAGGAGCTCGGCTGGGATGACTGGATTATCGCGCCGCTGGACTATGAGGCGTACCACTGTGAGGGCGTCTGCGACTTCCCGCTGCGCTCGCACCTGGAGCCCACCAACCACGCCATCATCCAGACGCTCATGAACTCCATGGACCCCGAGTCGACACCCCCTAGCTGCTGTGTGCCGTCCAAGCTGAGCCCCATCAGCATCCTCTACATCGACTCGGGCAACAACGTGGTCTACAAGCAGTACGAGGACATGGTGGTGGAGAGCTGTGGGTGCAGGTAGCAGGCACCGCTGGTCGGGCAGCCCACACGGGGAGACAGCCCCCCCCCGCACTCAGCCTGTAGCCTGAAGACGTGCCGCTGACATGTGCATGGAAAATGGGGGGGGGGGGGCTGGTTTGGAAGGGCAGATGTGATGTAACACGCGACTACAGACAGGAGGCGCTCTGCTTGCGCTCACTTGATTGTACACGTGCAAGGAGGTGGGCAGGGGTCTGTTGGTTCACCATCTGATGCCAAAAGCAGGATCGGAGGTGATGTCGCTGGGATGAGAGACTCGCATGGACATATTCCTGGTTTTGTCGTTCCCTCTGTATTTCCTGAGAGATGGATCATGTTTTAAATATGATTTGCACACACAGAAAAAAAAACGGATGGTCTTAACCGGTGTTTCTTAAACATATTCGCATCACCCTGAAAGGATTCTGCTTACGGCCGCGCCGCGTCGCACCGAATGGGCCGTAGCTCCCAGGAGAAACTCCAGGAGCCTCCAGAGAAGCTTCACGCTCAGAAACATCACGTTAAACCCGTCACAGACCTGCAGGACCGGACGATGTTCAGCTGTATGCTATGCATTCATGTCGATTTTACTGTCTGTCCACATTCTGTGGAAAGTAAAATAATCGCGATTCTCGGCTGTCGTCTGGAACTTTTACCCATAATGAAAGTCACATGTTTCCTGCACAGATTTCAGTAGGGAGACCCATGTAAACACCTGGGACATCAACAACTGAATGGTATATAAAACAAAATAGGGAACTATAGATTAGAAGTATTATTTCTTTTTATTTAAAACCATAGTTTGTCAGCTAAAATGCATCATCATCCATGTAGAGTTTGTTTACGTTGTTTGAGTGGAGCATAATCTCATTTCCTGCTTGGGTTCATTTGTTAGGCCGTTTCATTCACTGCCTGACCGGTGTAGCCTGGAGCTCCTTGGCTCCGCCTCCCCACTACCCAACAGCCAATGAGAAAGAGCAAGGCCCGTCTGCCAGCACTGACACAGTCATATGACTAAAGACGCACTTATACTGTTAATTTTATAATGAAATTGAGGAGAAGCTTTGCCACCATCGCAGCCTCTAAAGATCTCCAGAGATCCGTGCTCGACCAGAACCACCATGGCCTGATTTTTGGGCTGACGGATCTTGGCTAGCGTAATGCAAGCCAAGGATGCAAGAAACATGACTTTCCCGATCAATTTCACACTTGGTGAGACTGATCAAAAACTGCATGGCACTTCCACCAGAGTCATGGAAAACACACATTACATCCCAGGAAGCACCACAGCTGGGGCGATCACGTCCCCCACACGCCCCCTAAAACACCCTCAAAATAAACATGTAGTTTGAGGGCAGAAATGGAGCAGCGGGTGTCCTGGGATACCGGCTCCTTATCAAAATGCCGCTCAGGGCCCTGGGCCAGCAGTTTAGTGCACCACCCTTCCCGGCCTGAGGGGGGCACTCCCTGTCAAACCCCAGCCTGTTTCCCCTGCGTGTAATTCCTCAAGTTTTTTACCCCAGTTTTCTTTCATAATTACTTCCCAAAACGCAGCGGAGAAGCCTGGGGAGCACGATAAATGAAAGCTGTGTGTTAAAAAAAAAAAAAACAAAAAACGCAAATAAATAACCTTAGGAAAATTTTAGCAATTTTTCTGGCTGAAAATGTGCAAGGTGCCCCACGGAATCAGGCTGGTGTACTCACATGTGCCCCATTGCACGTTCTGGAAACTTCCACCACCACTTATTCTGGGAGGAAGCTACAGGGGGGATGGAGGAGACGGAGACCTGGATTTCCGCTTCCCAGCAGCCCCCCTACAGCGTGTGTCCGTCTAGGCAGAGCGCCCCCTAGGGGGTGAGCTCAGAGTTTGCCACCACATAAAACGCTTTCTCAGACGCTTGTCTCGAAAGTGAGTGGCTCATGTAGGGAACAACATTCAAGCGTGACAGCACCACACCACTTCCCCGCATCAATGCCACCTTCCCTCGAGTCGCTGCCTCGTCGTCTGTGCCTCGTCGTCTGTGCCTTGTCGTCTGTCTTGCACGTAATCTGTAACAGCGAATGCATTTCTGAGGTGAGAGGCCTGTGCAGCACTGAGACAAGGTGCGATGGTGACATTAGCAGCATTATTTATCAAGTCTATAAAAATCCATACATTTTTGAGCTTTATTTTAGTAGCTACTTCAGTACTGAGCTATATATTTTGTAATGTGTATACATTCCTTATGGAGACCACAAGATGTTATTTAATGAGCTGAAGTGACGCTTGAAATGGCTTGTTTTGTATATGATGCATTTTAAGGTTCAGTTTAGAGTTCAGTATAAGTTCAGATGACTGTGATTTCTGCTCCTACAGGAAATCAGCCACTGTGACATGTGTGCAGGTAATGGTGACGGATTCAGACCATGTCCCTGTGTGATTAGTTATGAACAGGTAGCAACAGGTAACTACACATGACCACTGGATAACCAAGGACCAACAGCAGGTGGGGGGGGGGGTCATTTAATCCATCACCTGCCCTGTGCTCTCAGTGCCTGAAGGTTAATGATCAGTGTGCTGGTGTTTCTGCGTACAAACACGCTCTGACACACTCCGGCGGGGACAGCCTATCCCGCAACACGCGTGCTCGTGTTGGCTCACTAACTCTGCCAGTTTATGGCGATTTCATCTCGCTAAGTGCCGAAGCGAGTGGATTATGAAGTGGAGCGCAACGCAGTGAGGACGTGACAAGAGGCGCAGGCGTGACGACGGCAGCGAGGTGAAGGAGCGGGCGGGGCAGCGTGGCTGAGACTGAAATGCACTGTGTATGTAATCCATGTGTTTAAAGGACTGTACATAATACAATTGTAAATGACCTGTAAACCACAATGTTCTTTTCCTTTTGGAAATATTATATAGTGGTATATATTTGAAGAAAAGTATGCACTCTTTGTATTCTCCTTTAATATTAACTTTTTGATGTTTTGTTGTACAGATGATTTTTATTAAATATTTTATTGATAATAAAACTGTTCCGGCTGCAAGTCTATTTTTTTTTTGACACGCGGCCTTGGATAAACCCGAACCCGCAGCCCTTCCCGGGTTTGCTGTTCCTGCTGCATTTACTGAAAGACTGATCATGTTTTAAATATCATTTGGCAAGAAAAAACACTA